TCCTTCCTTCCTTCCTTCCTTCCTTCCTTCCTTCCTTCCTTCCTTCCCTGACTCCCTCCCTCCCTCCTTCCTTCCTAATAGACTTTTATATCTCTTCACTGAGTTTTTACAGCTCCCTCTCAGCAGTTTACAGAGTCAGCTTACTGTCCCCAACAATCTGGGTCCTCATTTTACCCACCTCGGAAGGATGGAAGGCTGAGTCAACCTTGAGCCAGTCAGGATCGAACTCCTGACAGTGGGCAGGACAGCACATTCTAATCACTGTGCCACCACGGTTTATAATCCCTGTACCAATATCTCTTGATATAGATGTATTCCAGAAAAAAACATGCTAAATGTGGTCATTTCCCACCGCCCCTCTATTCAACAGAAGTACAGATTACGGCTCTAAATCCGTATTTCTGACACATCTAGACAAGAATGATGGCCTTGGGCCGGCTGTCAATTGAACTGAGAATGGGGATATTTAATTTCACGAGGGGGAAGAAAAGAGCCTTGGGAGAGGGAGTTTATCAGAAGGGGCAGCAGGCTATTTCTGTCAGTTCCTGTCTCAGCCCCCCTCCCCAAATCTTTTTCCCAAAGGAAGCAATTTGGACTTGTTACCACACCGGACTAACCTAAAGCATTCAATCGTCTGAACATTTTAGGCAGGGGGGGAAAAAGGCACTTTTAAATCCTCTGAAATAGATAAGCTCCGAGTGGGATTTGTCTCGTTTCCTTTCTCCGAAAATCATGTAGTCTTGGCAGCGTGTGAGGGTACATACAACGCCTGCAGGGCCCTTCAGTTGAAGGAATCGAGACTACGGATACTGTAGTCCTTGACTTACAACAGTTTGTTTATACAAGACGTTTTATAGATGGTGCATCTAGGCAAGGATTATGTTACCTAGCTGGGTAATGAAACATCTGCAAGAAAATAGCCAAGCTTAGAAAGCACGAAGGACCCTAGAGTCTTCCTCTTCCTCCTCCTACTCCATTCTAACACTGATGAAGTTACCTAGTTGGGTCATGGGATGTCTACAAGAAAGCAGCCAAGCTCAGAGAGCATCAGGGACTCCATGATTCAACCTTGAGCTACAAAGATTCTTTTATTGGAGCAGAGGATTTTACACAGAAAACGGTATCAGTTTCATAGCAGCCTACAGGAATCTTTCCTTTATGACACAAATCTATAAGATTTTGAATAGCAAAAAAAAAAAAAAAAGCCAATTTTGAACTGGCTTTTGGTCCAACCCAACTTTGAAATGTTCAGATAGGACATCCCAAATGGGGCCGTTTGGTTTCAGACCTGGAACTCGGTTTGTTCCTTGCTCTCTGTGATGACCCAAAGGGGCGTGGCACAAAGGCAACACAGTCAGATAATCAACAAGAGTCCCTTTTTTAGCTCCAACTTTGCCCCCAATGTCCTGGTTACCTTTTGGCTGGAGAAAAACTCTCCCAGGAACAGCCTTTGACTGCAGAGAATCAAATCCAAAACATGGTCAATAAAAACTGTAACTATAAATCCACTTAAGCCAAACTGAGGTAATTAGGTTGGCAGGGCAGGAGCAAGAATTCCAGATGTGAAGGAACGGCAATAACTCAACATGGTTGGGAAGACGCCAGATAAGCAACGAAACTCACGTTTGTTCCCAGCAGCTGCCACACTCAGCATGCATCTCTTTTAAACTCTCATTCCCAGGTATGGCTAATGAAGGGAATCAGGGCCCTTTCCTCCCCCCGTAAGCCATGCAACCCACGTTGCTCCCTTTTCCGTTCCTCCCTGCGTGCCCTAGGATGAAAAGGGGGTGGGCCTAGGTCTTCCTCTGAACTCCCTCACCCTTGTTCTACCTCTTCCCTACTCTTCCCAGCCGGACTTTGCCCTTCCCCAGTTTCCTCCACAGCCTACAGAGCCACACTCCTGCAGCCTGTCAGCTGTTCATCTTCCTCCTCGGATTCAGACTCCGACAGGGGCATGACATTCTCATTTCTATCCATGCAAAATGAAGATTCGTGATCGGTAAACCTGGTGAGCAGGAGGAATCTTACCTCCATCGTTGTCTTTTGCGTCTCCACATGCGGTCTCCATGGACGTGTCACAGCCTGTCCCTCTCCAGCCCAGCTGGCAGACACAGTGCCACCCATTCATGTCCAGTGTGCACCTACCGTTGCCGTTACACAACCCGGGGCATCCCTCTGGAAGGGGGGAAAGAAAAGGGAAGTTTAGTTGGAGAAGACTAATTAACACTGGAGAGCAAGATTCACAAGCCCGTTCGCATGTGCAAAGAAAGATGGAGCGATGATTTGCTTCTTTGGGGCCATTTTGTTCCTCGAGGAAATTTGTCCACCTCCGATCAATATTTTACCCCGTGGGCGTGAAATCGAACGGCTTGGGTATGCGGTAATGCAGGTAGCCCTCGACTTACGACCGCAATTGAGCCCGAAATTTCCACCGCTAAGTTTTGTGTCCTTCCGACAAGTGAAATTTACGGGGAAGCCAAATTTGCTGAATAAACTGTCTTACTCACTTAACAACCGTGGAGATTCACTTCGACAGTTTTGGGGGCTCAACTGTGGTCTCAGGCCGAGGACAATCTATACTTTGTTAAGCTTGAATTTTTTTTATTCGTTCAAGCGCGTTGTTAACCTTTGCATCGTCACTAAATGAACATCGAGGATTTCCTGTAATTGTAGTTTGGTGAGGGTGCCGAAAAAAATCTGCGTTTGTTCCCACGCTCCTCACGGGAGACCAAAACACCTCTTAAAACTCCTCTTTATTATCTCTGGTGAAGACAGGATCCCTTATAAAGAGGCTGGTTCGGATTAAAACAGAATGCAACCAATTATTCTTCACTCAGATCAGGAAAGCTGATTTGGGGCAGCTCTGCAAAATGTGTTCATAATTACAGCAATCTAAACAACAGCGAGCTGTCAGCCGCTTCCAACAGGCATCCCTGTCCACCGAAGTCAAGGAGATTTATGGAAGTTGGAAGTTACACCACGTTGCTGATTTTCCCATTGCTTAGGGTGAATGGAAATGTTTACCGGCGCGGCATTCGCGCTAACCTGATCCAAAGTTTTTCGGGCTACTCTTTTTCCGGCTCCTGGTAATCCTCCAAAATTTAAACAATATATTTATATGTATACTGTATTTTGAGCGACGCTACGTTACTCTGATAGAACTCAGGAGCAGTAGTTGAGGATGTGAGCGTGATGAGATGTTTTAACGAGCCTGTTTCTTGGACCCTCAAGGAAACAGGCCAGGAGAGGTGAACCGACAGTCCTCAACTTACGACGGAGCTGTGGTAGTGCAGTGGTTAGAAGTGCAGTACTGCAGGCTAACTCGCTGCTCACTACCAGCGGTTCGAGCCTGACCTGCTCAAAGTTGACTCAGCCTTTTATCCTTTTGAGGTCAGTAAAATGAGGACCCAGATTGTTGGTGGGGAGAGAGGCTGACACTGTGTAAACCACTTAAAGAGGGCTGGAAAGCACCATGAAGCGATATATAAATCTAAGTGCTATTGCGAAGGGAGGGAGGGAGGGAGGGAGGGAGGAAGGAAGGAAGGAAGGAAGGAAGGAAGGAAGGAGCCATGGTGGCACAGTGATTAGAATGAGTATTGCAGGCTAACTTTGCCCATTGCCAGCAGTTCGATCCTGACCGGCTCAAGGTTGACTCGGCCTTCCATCCTTCTGAGGTGGGTAAAATGAGGACCCAGATTGTTGGGGGTGATAGGTTGACTCTATAAACTGCTTCAAGTGGGCTCAACACAACCTTTCTGCCTTGCCCTTCACAATAACTCTTAGCCCCACCACTGGGCTTCCAAAAGGATACCTGTGTCCAACCCAATAGAATTTATTGTCCTGTCATCAGACAAACTCAGATGACATTCATGCCTAGAGCTTTTCTGTACAACGCCTGTAATTAGCGGCATGTCTTAAAACAGCAGAGGAAATAGTTCCCAGTTTCTTTTTATTTTCCCCCCACCCATTACAGTTAGACTTCAGTAAATTAAATTACAATTAATTTAAAGGAATTAAAATTCGATTTAACAGAGTTAGCCTCAACCCAGAGTGGTAGCCACTATACATCCAGGGAAAATCCAGGGGAAAGAAAAATTGCCAACTTTTAATGGCTTCCCCCCCCCCACACCCCCGGGGGTGGGTGGGTGGATGGGTTGTTAAAAGTACCGTATCTGTGAAAATGTGTGGTTTTTAAAAGAGCAGGAAACACCCCTGTGCTTAGAGGGTCTAGAATTTCAATCTCCCCTACAAAGCATGATGGGCTTCTCTGGAATAAGATTTCTCGTGCAGACATCTGTGAAAAAGAATCTATGTTGGTTTGTCTACCAGTTTTGCAAATGGGGTTGGGTTTTTTTTTGGGTGGGGTGGAGGGCAGAGCATTATTGTGTGTCTTTATGTTTGTGCGTGAGATCAGAAAGTGCTAATAAAACTGTATTTGGGCCAGGATGGTTGAAAAGGATTCAAGATCTGCAAGTTTGGAAGTTCTGAAAAGAAGGTTAAAATAACTGATTTGTATTGATTTCCTGCCTCATTTTTATATTATTTTTATAACTAAAACTGGGAAAAGGCTGACGGACAAACATTATCTTAAATATTTGCCAGCCAACTTCCAACCTGAAAGGGAGAGGCCACGGTTAAGATTATTCTCCGGGCTCTTGTGAACAAAGAAGGCTTCGTATTGTCTTACTCACCTTGTCTTCTCCTGAGTTGTACCATGAAAAAAAAAAGAATTAAAAGCATCCTTGCAGAGGCACCTCCCTCCTCCCAAACCACATCACCTGTCTAAGTTGGGATGAGGGATGAATGGAGAAGACAGAAGCCACACAGATAAGACATTAGTGGAAGACAAGCTGCAGTTACAGAAGGATGGAGTTGAAATGGACTTCCTGGGCTTAAATCCCTGAGGGAAAATATATATATATATATATAT